CCGAATTGACTGGCGTCCTCCTTTGTGAGGTGGGCATGATGTCAACTCGTGCTCATATTTTGCCTGTGCGCCAGCCTTCAGTTGACTCGTGTGCAGTCATGTCACACAGTCGTGCGAGGCAGGATTGGGGGAAAAAAAAAAGTACTGGTGAGACAGATGTTCTTCAAATGTGACATCGTCGCTTTACTGGTGCGCCATAGTCATTCTGTTACTGTTGTTCCACTGGTGCTTAGTGATCTCATGCACTCGTGAAGGCTATTAATTGAAAAGAACGTGACAGGTAACGCAGTTGTTCCACTCGTGCGCTGAATTGTCTTACTAGTGAAGGCAAATAGTGTACTAGTCCAAGGCTGGACGTGGAATAATTCTGCCTGACTGGCAGGGAATGGCCGGGCAATCCATTGCAATGCCATTAGTTAATCTCATTTGGCCGGCTAATCCTTAAGCGTTGCGCGGTTGCCGGCCGAGGTCCCGCCAGGTTCCCGTTCTAGTCCCCAAACATTTTGTTGCCGTCCTAAACCCATTTGGGGCCCCCAACCTTTGTCGCCGCCCACTTCCGAGTAGCGCTCCATTAGGGGTGACGGGATGAGCCGGACGGCGGCGTCCCATCAGCGGCGAGACGCAGATCCAATCGGACAGCCGTCAATTTGAACTTGATTAAAAGCGATGCGGCGGCGGCGGAGGCCACAAAGTGCGCTTTTGTGGCTGTGCGGTCCTCGCGATGTTTCATTACCTGAGACGGGAGACAGAGAGAGGGATAAAGAACGGCCTCAAACAGGAAAGAGAGCCGTTCTTGGCCGCTCTGTGCCTCCTTTGTTCGGCAAGGTAGGAAAAACTTAATCCCCCCGCTGCGAGGCACCGCCGCCGCCGCCGCTGCCCCCGTTTCCTGCCCGATGATTTTTGGCAGGAGGACAAGGAGGGAGGGGAGAAGGCAAAGAGAACTTGAGGACGAGTTGGACAGAAAAAGAAGTGTCGAAGAGAATTAGCCCTTTAAATCCTTCCAATGCAATCTGGTGATGTCTTTGTCGGCGGCCCCATTTATCCGCGACTACTACTTCCTGTAAGACTTTGGCCTGGATCTGATGACCAGTTGTAGGACTCTCCCATACTCAGACATGGAACGCTCTAAAAAGTGATCCTGAAAATATTTTTTTTTCCCTGACTGCACGGTGACTGAGCGGTTCGCACGTCTGTCTTGCGCTTCTGAGTTCTAATTTCATCTGCATCCTAACAACCCGGCGAATGGACGTTGGCTTCGTTCGGGATGAAATTGCCCGCAGTTATGAGTGGAATTGTTGATCGTTGATGCGGGCCCCGTACAGTGGCTGCTTGGGTGGACGACAACGCTTGCCATGAGTCAATTGCGGCAGGCTTCGGCTCCTTTTTTTCTTCCCTTTCAGTCCAGATGGGTTGCGGTTGGGGTCACAGTTAGGGCTTGGGCTGTGACTTATTTTCATATCACAATACAATTAATTTTTTTTTTTTTGAAGTCCCACACATGCCTCTTGCGTATATGAAAATAAATGGAATACGTATGCAACGTACTTGCAGTCAGTGATCTGAAATTATTTGGTCAAGAAAATGCACGGCACAAGCGCATTCTGTTGACATGAATAGTCACATTTGTTTTGGTAACGTGAACAACTCCACAAAGAGAAAAAAAAAAAAAAACCTCTCTCATTTAGCTTAATAGTGAGGCGCAGGTATCCGCCTCATGCAGAAGAGCTGAGAACCCCCTGGGAACAACGCAGCACTTGTTCCTGCTCGCGTTTTCAGTTAGCACCGTTGCTCCCCAGGAACAATCCCGGTGTTGTTTTGCCATTAGCGTGATATGAATAGGGATGGGGCGGCTTTGTGGAGGGACCCCCGCCAACACACACACACACACACACACACGCACACACACACACTCCTCATCCTTCCCAGAGGGGCACAAGCTCTCACACAGCCCTTTCGACTGCATATGAATTTGAAAAAAAAAAAAAAAAAAAGGACTTAATGCTGTAAGAATGTAATGGGTGTAAAAAAAAGTCTATACATTTATTTATTTATATATTTATTTATTATTATTATTATTATTTTTTTTTTTATAAGACCACACTCAATTGCCTATCAGACAGGCTTCATGCAAAATGCCACAGATGGACGACTGCAGTTGACTGAGTCACATCAAGTAGTTGTGAAAGTTTCCTTCGTTTGCTTTCACGACCGCACGCCTTTGCCCTGGGGTGGCTCATTTGCACACTCCAGAAGGCATCGCAATGAAGGAGTCCAAATATACGACCATTTTTTTCCCCCATTTGGTTTTCTTTTCATGTATTTATTTATTTATTTATTTTGAATGACACAAGGCGCCACCGTGAGTGGTATTTTGATTTTTTTTTTTAATTTTTTTTAAATAATAATATCTGCGTGTCTCTCTTTCTCTCTGCTTCCCGACAGTCCTGGTACCTGGGCGAGCTTAGTTCCGTTTCAAGTGTCGAACGGGACGCCGATCCTGCCAACAAATGTCCACCAGAACTACAGCATAAGCATCATTGGTGAGCCGCTGGTCCCCGCGGAAACCGGGAATTGAGCCTCGAGGGTGGACGAGCGCTTCGGAGGAGGTGTGGTGGGCTTTGGGCTTTTTTTTTTTTTTTCCATGAGGGGGACGCCGAAACCAGCAAATGCAGCAGCGGCGGCGGCTGTACAATCCGAACACTCTTCCAAACTATCCCAAGCCCCCTCGCCCACTTTTCCCCGGGCCATGATGGACGCCGGCGTAAGGAAGGAAGCGTCAGGTGTGCCACCCCTCTCCTCACCCTTACACCACATAACCACCCACGCGACACACGCACACACACACACACACACACACACACACACACACACACACACACACACGCACACATGCATACAGTATACACACACAGACACACACACACCAGCCAGTTGTTGTTTGCAGAACTTTCCAATGCATTCAAATACTGTGATGTATAGATGCCTTAATGTTTTACTGCATGACACTCAAATCTGTGCTTCTGATGACAAACGCGGGGGCGGGGTCAAACAAAGTCACTGTGTACACCGTCGAAAAACATTCAGAGTGCTTCTTCGTCGACTGTGATGCCGGGAGAAACAAAAATGTTTGTTGCTTGTTGTTTTCTTTGTTTGTTTTTTTGGGAGACTTCCAACAATTTAGAGAGTTAACTACTTGAGATTGGGCCCCTCACTAAAAGATTTATGACCCCTTTCAAAAAGGTTTTAGGTTTTGGGTTTTTTTTGGTTAAAGAAGAGCAATTTCCATGGAGGCAAGTGCAATTGAATTTTTTTTTTTTTTTTTGAAGGGAAGCTATCAGTCTGTCAGCCCTCAGACTCTAAAGGAAAGGGGGATAAACATGGAATGGTTTTATGGGTAAAATATTTTGATTTTTTTTTTTTTTTTAACAATTTGATTTCGGTCCCAGCAGCAACACCAGCACTTGTTTTTGTTCCGTGTCCTTTCTCAATTGTACAGGGACATATTGTTTATTCTTTTCTTATTTATTTCTTGGCAAAGGGGGAGGAATAACCCCTTTGAGAAAGAAATGAACACATATGGTGTGTAAAAAAAAGAAAAAAGAAAAGAAAAAAAAGGCATTTCACTTTTTTTTTTGATAAGATCAACAGCATTTTGGCCATTGGCTTTGAAAGCGTATGTTTACAAGAGGAGGAAGAAAGAAGTGTTATTTGATGGAAACGTGCAGTGAAATTGTCAATCAGTCAGGCGCTGGCAAAAAAAAAAAAAGAAAAAAAAAACAACAAAAACAAAAAACTTTTTTTTTTTCATTATCGCGCCATCAGCCTCTGCAGTCTTCACTTCATTTGCACGACGATACATGACGTCCACATGACGTGCCTTTCTGCATATCCACACACACACACACACACACACACACACACACACACACACGCACACACACACAGACACATTTTGTTCTTTTTAATCATCGTAGGAACACGCAGAGTTAACATTTTTAAAGTTTTTGTACTCCGAACATGAACTGTTTAACTTCATGTAATATTTTCTGTGTCACAGTTCCATCGCGTATCCAGGCTGTGTATAGTCAAGTTTGTAATCTTTTTTTTTTTTTTTGGTTTTCCCTCCAGTATTTTGCCCCTTCCCTCCCCCGCGGCTTTTCTAATAACCTATCATGCGCCCCCCCGACTTTCCGCACTCATTGTCCTTGAATTCAGAATGATGAAACTTATGCAATACCAAGTTTTGCCTATATAGGTAGTGCTTATAGACAACGTCAAATATTAGAGGCTAGTTTGGAGATAGACACTATTGTAATGCATTTATTTCCTTGATGTTGATGTTGTTGTTGTTGTTGTTGTTGTTGTGGTGGTGGTGGTGGTGGTGGCGGCGACTGTTTTTTCCTTTTTCTCATTTCTTTAATTTGACCAAAGCGGGGCTGCTGTCGGTGCAGTGTTTGTCAAGGTCTTCAAGCTTCATCCGGTCTACATTTAGAACGTTGCGTTTTTTTTATTTGTTTGTTTGTTTGTTTGTTTTTACTTCCTACAAGTGCATCCACGGTGGTTCTACAGCTGCAAAGTCACCTAACAGTCTGACTGTGACTAAAAAAAAAAAAATTTTTAAAGGGAAAAGAACAAATTTGCTGCCGGAGAGACCACTCGACTTGAGGCCAGGACAATCACGCTAAGATCCCCCCGCCCCGGCCTTAACAGCAGCAACAGCTAGCGGCCCGTCAACTGCGCACCAATCACACACAGCGACCAATCCTGGCGAGGGCCCGCCCAAATCAGTGTTGACCGTGCTATCCCCGCCCACTTTCAAATGACCCAATTTATAGCCATAGTTTGGACACCCCTTCAATAAGTCTTGGCACCCACACAGGTTTGTGAGTTCAGTGCACCTCGCTTGATCGCATACAAATGACAGTTCGCAATATAGACAAACCATATGAAAAAAAAATAAACACACATATATAGATAGATAGATAGATAGATAGATAGATAGATAGATAGATAAGTGTTTGTGTGTGTGTGTGTGTGTGTGTGTGTGTGTGTGTGTTCTTTGAGGCCATAACAGCAACCTCCGGCTGTAGGATTCCGTCCTTCCCAGAATATTTTCAGGAGTCTTATGCTCTCCTGAATGGCTCAGGATCTTTGCCTGGTGCTACATACTGTATGTATATGTGGATGTGTGTGTGTGTGTGTGTGTGTGTGTGTGTGTGTGTGTGTGTGTGTGTGTGTGTGTGTGTGTGTGTGTGTCTATCATGCGATGTCATGTTAAACAAGTTGATCCTGTCCTGCCCCAAATGTCAGCCGCAGTCAGTGGAGTGTGTGATTTCTAGCGTGGCCACAAATTGAGACAAGATCATGACTTGAGCGATCTACTTTTGAGGGCATTTTAGTGGCGTGCTTTGCGATTTTTTTTTTTTTTTTTTTTTACAATGTACAACATGTGCCTTGGCTTCATCAAATTTGGGAAACACTGCTCAACGACGTGCACATCAATTCCCAGAATCAATTTTGCAATCCCACCCCCCCTCTCCTCTCCCTGCTCCATCGAAGGAATACATAGCACTTAAACGGCATGTAGGCAATCCCTCCGAGCGAAATCTCTCAGGCGTTACAGGGGCATTATGTATGTCAATCAGTGCGACATGCGTTGACACCTTTTGCACTCGTTCCCCCTCCCAACTGCAAAAGCAGGACGACAAATCCTCAAGTCGAGCTGCATCTCTCCGACTTTTTTTTTTTTTGGGGGGGCGGTCCTTTCCTCAAAAGTGCTTTGCAGCCGGCGGCCATCTCAGACCCTATTGTAGTGCGTTGTCCCCCATCAAGGGTGTGTGTGTGTGTGTGTGTGTGTGTGTGTGTGTGTGTGTGTTTATTGGCTCGCGAGACCTGATGGTCTCAATGATAGTTGAGTGAGTGAGGATGAGACGAGGGTCTCCCTATGGACAAAAAACAAAGTTTGTACACTGTAAACCTTCCCGAGAGTTTAATGCCCTTCTTTTTAAATCTTCCAATTCAGGGAGGGAAAAAAAGAGTCAATTCCATTTTTGGAAAGAAAAAAAAAGTGTTTCCGTGACTGGTTTGGAGTTAGAACTCCCCAGATCTGCCGGATGAATACAATTTCAAATGTTGTTGCCTTTCTCTATGTAATGTGATTGCGGGGTGGGGTGGAGATTCCGCTAGTATGTACAGTGCAACCCGCCGAGTAACTGACACCTGCCCCAAAAGTGTCCGTAGATGCCACACAATTGCCGCAAGGCATGACCGTTTTTCTGAATAAAGTTCCTCTATGTGGCAAGATGGCAACTTAGTTCCTCTGCACCAAGATGCTACAAGATGCCGGCAAATTTTGACTGGTGACTATTTGAAGCCCCTAAATTAATGTCAATAGGGTCTCATGGTGCCAATATGCCGCAAGATGGCAGAAAAAGAAGTTAAGGCCTCAGCTCACTTCGACTTAGTTCCTTGACACCGACATAGCCGGAAAAGCACTCTCGTTGTCCAAATAAAACTTTTCAATTGACATGAACGTAGTTCCTCGGCACTATAATGCCACAAGATCTTTATCTCAGCGAAGCTCCTCAAGTTTATGTCAACATAGTTCTAAACTGTGAAGATGTGGGGTTCACTGTATAAAATGACAACAACATGAAGGCTTTTTGTTTTCTTTGGTTATTAGGATTTTTCTGAATGAGCTTAGTGCTCATTGATCTTTCCATTTGGCTATTTTTTTTTTCCTTAGCGTGTGATGTGCATCTTTCCTTGTGGGTGTGGTTTCTTGTCCAACAAGACAGTGGCGTGTGTGTTCTTTGTAGCAGCTGGGTGGCGACTTTGCCGAAAATCCCGCTCGAGACCCCCACCCCACCCTCCAAGACTGCACAAAAACAGCAGGGTAAAGAAATTTAAAAAAATGTAACTCTAACGTCCTACTATCAGATAGTTGTCGATGTTTTTTTGTTGTTGTTGATTTTTTTTTTTTTTTTTTTTTTTTTTTACGTGATGGGTGCTGTTTCTCGATTGGCTCGCGGGGGATTGGCTCACAGAGAATGTTCCTTTTTGGAAAAAAAGTTGACAAATCCCCTGAGTTCCCGCTAGCACCCCCATTTCTCCTCGTGTCTTCCTGCGACTCCCTTTTTGTGAAACGGAAAGCATGAGCCCCAGGTAGCGTACCTTCCACTCCATTGGAGTTGCCGGGCAGGGTTTGAATGTAGATCAGTGTTCAGTGGCGGCCCTTCAAGTATTCTCGCGCTGCCCACCGTGACTTTTTTATGCAAAACACGTGCAATCCAACCCCCCCCACCTCCACCACCACCACCACCACCTCACACACGCCCACGTTGAAGCCACCGCAAGGGCTCGTACCTGCAGGAAGTCTTTTCTCTCTCTCTCGCTCCCTCTCTCTCTCTCTCTCTCTCTCTCTCTCTCTCTCTCTCTCTCTCTCTCTCTCTCTCTCTCTCTCTCTGTCTCTCATCAACCAGCAATTTTTTTTAAACTAAAACAAGACGAGCAATGCAGTGCCTGTTCCAGCTGTCCGACTTGTACATACATGTGAAATGTGACATAGACTTACTTTTGGGCGGGGCTTATTCATGTCCAAGCATGTCAGCACACATGAAGCTTGCTTGTAGTTTTCAAAATGAGATGAAACATACTTTTTTTGTTTGTTTGTTTTTTTGGGGCAGCGCTATATACAGTCTTTCGAAATGCAGGGCAGGTCTTGTGGCACTTTTACCCCCCCCCTCCCCCCATCCTCCCCTCCATGCGCATGCAACAACAACAACACTAACGAGGCGGCTTTGTGTAAGTATGTAGTGATCGTAGTTTTGCTGCGAGTGTGTGCAAAAGGTCTTTCTATGTATCTGAATGTACGTTTTAGAGGACTTTTTTTTTTTGCCCTTTTTCATTTTAGGAGCCACAAGGTGTCCATTGTGAACAGTACAGGCATAGATGCCTCCTTTTTCTCTTTATTGATCTTTTTTTTTTTTTTTTTTGGGAAGCGACACCTTCCGGCCGGTTACATTTGGTGCAGGGGTTAAAATTGCCACAAGATTAAAAATCAATGTAAATAAAGGCTCAACTCTTTTCTTTTTCTTTTTTTTTCTGTGATTGTTACTGTTATATCCAGCCTATACTGCTAGCAGCTGTTCTTACTGCAGTCAATTACTGGAAGTGGATATATTTCCTATGCAAAAACTGTTTAAACAATAAAATGAGCTATGCTACAACAAAAAAAAATGTCTGTCTTATCTTCCTCCAGTGCGATTTATTTTGAAACGGCAGCTGGAGTTCAGCTACATTACCAACTGTTGACTGGAGGGTTAGTGTAAGCTTTTTCCCACCTCTGGATTGACATAGACAAACCCAAATTTTAGTACACATATTTTTTAAATGAACAGATTAGATAAGAAAGAAGAAAGAAAAAAACTTTGTCTCACAATGTAGAAATTCCCAAGATGAAAAAAAAACAAAATAACAATCATCATTAATAAAATAAAATGCATGCATATTTTTTTTACATGCATTCTTTTGTCAATCAGTTTTTTCATTTTACGAGTTACAATAAAAAAGATACCAATTATTGAATTAGAAAGCATTTGATGAAAAGTTGAAATGTGATGTAAGATTAATAAAATATTGCAGTCAATCCTTTTATACACTGTATATGTATACACACACAAACACACACACACACACATATACAGTATATATATAGATATATAGATATTTATATATATATATATATATATATATATAGAGAGAGAGAGAGAGAGAGAGAGAGATACATACATACATATACATACATATAGATGTATATATGAATATGTATATATGTAGATGTGGACTTGCTGGATTCAAGAAAAAGTCTTGTCAGTGGGCAACCGGCAAAGACCAAAGACAAAAATGGCTTTTTTTAAGACGCCTTGGCCGTTGCCGTCCCCGGGCTAATTGGATTTCATCCCTTCTCCGAAGTGAATCTCGCTTCCCCTGAGAGCAAGCGCAGTTTCACTTTGCTAATCGAGCATAATTCGTCACCGCCGCATGGCTGGGAGAACCATCTCAGGGAGCGCATTGTGTCTCCGGGGTCACTTGAGGTAAAGTCCATGTGGGTCACAGCGTCAAGTCCACCCAGCTCTGATCTAGTAAGCCTTCCTAATGGGATCGAGGTGGCAAAAGTCTGTCTAAATCGCCAATTAGGTCTCATTATGCCACGGCCTCAGATGCACCCGGTGGCGCCCCGCGTGTCCCAACAGGCCGGACGTGGCGCTATGCGGCGCTCACCGCCAATGGGGCGTGCTGATATCAAACCACCCAATCTTTAATGGCAATCATTGCGCCGTTTATCCAAATTGGCCATTGGGAGTCCGCATCTGGCTTCAATAGGACTTGGTGAAAGTCTTGGCACCCGCTTGTCTCCTGCATATTTTCCACCCTCCGTTATCAAGGGCTGCTGTCAGCGATTCGAGAAGGCCCAATAGATGATGATTTTGGCCCTATTATGTTTCGCAAAGCAAATTTGTTGATTGCCTTTGCCCCCTCCCGACCCCCACCCCATGCAAATGCTTCTCTCCCCACCTTGAGATTCACATCAAGAGTTGTGTGTGTGCGTGTGTGTGTGTGTGTACGGTTGGGCAGTGCTCTCACACACACTTGTGAGTGCAGAGGTTGGACTAGACCCGTGCCTGTGCCAGCACAAAGAACCCACATCACGTCCCTGAGCTGCTTCTTTATGTGTCTCCTGTTGGAAAGGTGTGCACTGTAGTTTGAGGGTCTCAAATCGTAAGCCCGCAATAGTGCCCACCACTACCAATGGCACGGATGGACATGAAATCGGGTGGGTGTCGAGCAGAATAGGACGCTCCACCGGAAGTCGGCCATTTTTGTTTGAAGCAACCATATCGGGAACAAAGTTTAAATACAATAGCCCATGATACCAGTTTCGCCGAGCAACGCAAAATTTGTGTCTGAGGGAACAGGATGGGGTGGCCCGGTGGTCGAATGGTAAGTGCGTCAACCTCACAGTACAAAGGTTTTGGGTTCGATCCGGGCTCCAGCCTTCCTGTGTGGGACAGCGGCCCTCGAGGAACAGGATGGAAGACCCCCTGCCCTGCAGGTGAACAGGAAGTCAACCGTTTCGGTTCAAAGCAAACATTTTGGGGCCAAATTCGATGAAAAAGACCTGGAAAATTAGGCGGGAGGGGGGCAAATCACTTTCAGCGATCAATCCCAAGGATCCATGCCCCATGGATGAACCCTTTCGGTTTAAAGCCGCCATTTTGGGCGAGTTCCAGGCCTCGCGCTTTGAACTGCCAGACAAGACATTTGTTGGCATCCATTGTGCACACAACCTTGCCGCTAGGGCCACCGTTTATGAAACCAAGAGTTCAAAAGGGACACAACAACCTATTTTGCACTTGAAGAGGGCCGAGGAGGGAAAATGCTTTAAATAGCGTTCTCATCGCCGTGTATTCCCACACGCATTTGCATAAATTTCATAGTCTTAAGTCGCGGATTGGGATCGGAGCGTGTTACGAGCCCACGTCGAGGTGGCGGTACCAGCCCATCGCACTGAGGCTCCTTGTTATCTCGCTGAAAGCACGAGCCGGGTCTTAAGATCGTGGGATTTGTTCCCAAATGAAAGCAGCAGGATGGGTTCGGAAAAAGAAACAGGTGTTGGGTGTTTGTGCGTCCGTAGGTTGCAAAAACACGCTGTTCATCTGTTGTGTTCGGCTGTGCGTGTGTGTGTGTGTGTGTGTGTGTGTGTGTGTGTGTGTGTGTGTGTGTGTGTGTGTGTGTGTGTATACATGTGACAGAGGGGCTTCGATGGGGAAGAAGGAGGGGGGCTTTATTGAAAAGTGCGCCTCTCCTCCCCTGTTCAACATGCTGGATTAGCACCAGCAGTTTCCCATGGAGCAGTAGCCCACCCCAGCCCCCAATCCTGCCCGCACATTTGCATAAGGCGCAGACAGGCGGCGATGTGACAAACAAACCTGGCACACACACACACACACACACACACACACACAGAACGGCAACCGGCTGCCTCCTATACATGAACCCAAATAAGCGCAGTCCCTCCAAAATGGCCACCTTACAACATATTTCACTGGAGCTCCGCAGCTCGGCTCTCTGCGCCGCTGTCCGGCCGCCAAGTTCCCATCAGGCGGCTGATTTATGGCGCTCGATGCATTCCTCAGGCCGTCCGAGCTGAAATATGAGACGAGAGGATATTCGCTCCGCGGCGCTACGCACCCCCGCTCTCACACGAGAACGTTCAATGGGGCCCTATAGGCAGTGTCAGGCTCAGCTAGGCCCTGCGCATTATTATTCACTTCCAAAATGGCTGCTTGGAAACAAAATGGCTGATGTTAATCTTGGGAATGGATCCTTGAAGTTCCTGTGATGACAGTGTTGGTCAGTGAGAGTGGCGACAGGGAGCGACAGATTTCATGGAATTCAGCCTTCAAATGGCTGCTTCACACCCAAAATGGCCGATGACCTATTTCCACCTTCAGACTTTTTCATGTGAGCTTTTATGACAGACATGTCCGCCCAGTTTCCTGCTAATTGGTGATGGTGGTGATGGGTAGCTCAAGGTTGCGGCAGGATTCAGATGAAAAAATGGCCACTTCCAACCAAAACGGACCACTTCCTGTTCAATTTCAGGCAAAAGTCCTTGAGAATTTTTCCTGCCATCCGTTGTGACGGGCGTGTCCGTCGATTGGTAAACCGGTGACCGGAAGCAAACTTCTATCATGGAAAATGGTCGACTTCCTGTTTAACCGCATTTGTGGGCGGGGTTAAACAGCACCCTGACCCCGCCCTCCTCGACGCATGCACACCTGCTCTCAATCTGCTCAACTTCTCTCTTCCTTGTAGTTTTAGGAGCTTTTTGTTTTCTCTGCGACATTTTGAACAGTAATGATGCTATGTTATTGTGACATGAACACAGCCGAAGCGCTTTTGAGCCATCCGGAGGTCAAGAAAAATGGAGCCGCATGACTCAGCGAAAGTGACATTGAAGACACCAAAGGGAAGTCTCCTCTTCTATTTTTCATCTTTTGGTCATGTTTGTGTCCCCTATTCACTCACCTTTTTTTTTTTAAATCACAAAATGACACAATAGTAAAGTTTGGGTTGGGGTGGGGGGGACTATTTAGCTAAGTTTGTTGTAGACCAGTTAGCACCATATCCAACTCAGCTAGCAAGGATGACTGAGCACAAACTAACATTAGGATTGATATACAACCATTTTACTGTAATTAAAGTAACATAAAATCAGTACTTGAATGAACTTTATTTCATGATAAAGGATTTAACCGAGCTATTATATTTAAATCTACGTGTTTCAGGTGCCGTAGCATCTGTGACAGGGTTGAAGGAAATGAAAAAAATCTCATCAAGTTGCTGGTTCAGCCGGACGAATCAGATGATGGCGTATGATGATTTATTGCGTTTGGTTTTGTTTTTAATTCCCAAATTGAATGGACTGTTTTCCAAGTAGCCGTGCCTAACGTGGCGTGAGCCACGTGCAAACTATTTGCTTGGAATAGCTGCAGCTCGATGACACGACTTTGCTCTGTGTGAAAATCACAGTGAAGGATGTGTTGTCAGACGAGCGTAATTTATGACATCGGCACATGTCAGATAAAACTTGGTGTCGGTGTGATATTTTCGAGGAATACTGCATGTGTGTGTTCTCCGCCATGTTGCCACGGAGCTGATGTTTGAGCGAGCTGCTTTGGCAACGCCGATGTTGGCTCTGCGCGGGTTTTCCCGCCCGGGCTCTCCTACGCTCTTGGCGCCGAGGCGGAGGGAGAGCCCGGCAGCCTTGGAGCGGGCGGCTCCTCCTCTTTGCAGCGATTTTAAAATAGCCACACAGTCAGCCACCCCACCCCTCGCCCCACTAAATCAATTAAAATGTATTGAACAAAAAGTATGAGTCGCTGCTCGTGTCGGTTTAATTTCCAATTGTTTGAAGGTTTCTCCTTAGCCAAACATCGGCGGCAGCCAGCAGTCACCAGCGTGGTGCACCCGCGCGCCACGTGACGAGCACACAGGCCTGTTCTAAAATCGCTCACTCGCGAGTGGATGTTGTGATTTTCCAGGAATGTTCTCCAAGTGATCATTGCAAAGTATAAACACTGGCAGAGATGAATTGAAAGTATTTATTACAAACAATAATAATTACTGACCATTTATCATAATTAAGTTCATAAAAGTCATTTGAGCATTTTTTTTTTCCATTTCAGAAGTTTGGATCAAACTGGTGAAGCTCTTCACATTGATCAGAACCAAAGAAGCAGCTCTCAGTTTCAAAAAAAAAAAGGTTGGGGACCCCTGGTCTATGCTAATTTCAGTTAGCTGGTAGATGGTGTTTTGCATTATATGTCAGCAGAAAGCTAGAGGACGTCCGTCACAATATATATATATATATATATGTGTATATACACACGCACTGCATGTTAGACCTCAACCAATCAGAAGAGTACACATCGAAAGACTATTTAGTTGAGCCAATCAGAGGTAATTTTAGATCTGTGAGAAGCCCAAGACAGGACAGTCTGGAATCTAATTGGTTACAAAAAAAAATTTTTTTACATCGGCCATTTCTAATAGTTTGGGTATGTCCTGGGCCAGCATTTCTGGGTCTGAAGGCCCTGGGCAGATTACAGTGACATGGCAACACACAGAAACTGAAATCTGACTGTCCCACCCCACCTGCAAAAAAAAAAAAAAAATCCAATATACACGCTACTGGAATTTAAAGACGTGTCTGTATTGTGACGTAACAGCGCAATTCATTTAAAGAATCCCCGTTCATGATTTGGAAACCAGGCCGGTTGCGGCGCCGCCACTTTCAAGCCATGGCCTGACTACGTTGTCTTCAACACACTCGAAGAAATGTGTCAAATAATGGAGGTTCACGGTCCACACAATTAAAAAGTCCATTTGCCATAATGCGTGCGCTTCAGACGTAACGAGCGCTTTCTCTTCCTTGCGGGATGTTGTAACAGAACGGCAAAATCCCCCAAAGATTTGCCCGTCTTTTCCCCGAAGCACAATGTGGCGGCACATCTGCAAGCGTGTCTGCCCATTGGAGGCTTTTGTTGCCTTTCGTGTTACACCGCTGCCGTGGCACTTTGGCACCTGAGTACCATTAAGAAGCTAAAGGCTTCAATAATAAGCTGCAGGTGCACCCCTGGCAAAGGCTGGATGGGGGGGCGGGGGGTGTAGTAGTAGTACTAGCATGTGTGTGTGTGTTGTCAGTTTGAATTCTGCATTCTGGTACCTTTGCTCACGTTTTTTTTTTTTTTTTCTCAACTCAAGGGAAACACACTAACGTCCGTCACGGCCGGCCATCCGCGCCCCCCGTCGATAAATGATTGACATCCACTATCAGGACGATTACTTGACACGGTAGCTGTGTTAGAATGTATTCAAATTATTGCCCACACTGGATATGAAGACAACATATGCCCCCACCTGCCATTGACAGCAGCGAGTGGAAGTGACAGCTAATAAGGAGGCAATCTACTTCCTGCAAATCTAATTCCGTGATGAATGGTGCCATGTATAGACCCTGGCACCAGAAGATCACACGCCCACCTGCGGAAACACACGCTGGAATAATTGTTTGTGTTTTTGCCGGCGGTGATCTGACGCCGAGTTTGGAGTAGCTTTCCACAAAACGGAACCACCCTGAAACTTGCTGACCGAGCATGTTTTTGTTCCCCCCCACCAGAGTTTCTGACTTCCAGCTGCTTTCTTGCGGAAGATTGATGATAGAAATTGGCGTCATTAAAGTGTTGGAATCCCTCACCTGTTTAGCATTTGCGATACTTTGCACGCCGGGGCCGGCATGATCGTCTTGCGATCAACCATTTCCAGATTTCACCAGCCGCGGGTCCTTCCTTTTCTCTGTTTGAGACGGGCTGACTTGCCGCTGCGTGTTCATGGTGTACAAGGTGTAGCAACGCTATATTTTCTTCATTTCATGAATCTGCCTTGCAAGCATTGCCACCCAGAGTTGCCGTTTCCAGCCACCGCTTCTCAAATAGGCCTCAGTTTGAGGACGGGTCATTTTAAAGTGGAACGACACGTTCGGTTCCGACCCGTTTCCCATTCCATTTCACATGGTGGCTACAGCTCAGTTCAAGAGGGGACCAGGCCATGAGTATCCATCCATCGATCCATTTTCCGATCCACTTTATCCTCACAAGGGTCGCGGGGTGTGCCGGAGCCTATCCCGGCTGTCTTCGGGCATGTTCCAAAAAAAAGCTGGGACAGGGTCATGTTTGCCGCGGTGTTCAGCACAACATCCCAACTTGACTGGAATTGGGTTTATATTTGCATGATGTCGTGAGAGGCGAAGCTGCTAAACATGATTTGCTTCACAAAGTTCGATGATGTCGCATTACGAGCATGCTTGCTCGAAAGCGCCTCCTCGCCTCACAAAGCCAAAAAGAAGTCACGTAGCAATGCGAAGATGAGCATATGGCTCACGTGGTTAAACCTGGCAAAGAGCGGAAGATGAACAATGATTTGTGGGAAAGGAAATGGACCACCCACAACCCCCCCCAAAAAAAAAAAAATAGCTGTGTGTAAGTATAACCTTCACTTTCATGTGCCCATGGGAGTGAGCAAGACAAGGGAGGGGCTTTTTTCTTTTTTTTTTTCCTTCCGCTGTGTTTGCGGGGAAACGCAACTGGCATCACACACACTTTCCCCCATATGGCGTATGGATCTGCGATGCGAGGATGCGTCGGCTGAAAAAAAAAAAAAAAAAAAGAAGAAGAAAAAGAAGTCCCATATGGGTGTCTGTTTCTTTTCATTAGCTGGCGGCCGCAACAGAAGTAGCTCCTCGTCGGCTTGACTGAAGCGACTGACGATAAATTCGTTCCAACAAGGACTCGACGCCACGGGGATCTGACGTTCCCTTGAGGGCCGCGCTTGAATTGCACACGGATTGGCTCTCGTAGGTTTCAAACTGAGCTTATTATTACCGTTTTGGGGTTCTTTTCATACCAAAGACTGATTGATGTTTGGGCTCGCCTTACTCCAGTTACTCCAGAGAACCAAATATTTGTACACGAGCAATTAAAAAGTCACTTTCCCGTAATTTGTCTCTATACGTGTAACCAATGCGAACATACCAATACACTTTTTTTTTTTTTTTTTTAAATCAAACAGATTCTTAAAATGAAGATTTGATCGTGTGCGTCATTTTCGTCCCTTGCTACTGTTTGCGCAAAAGAAAATGGATTTTCTGAGTTTGATTGTGAAAAAAAATAGATATTGTGCTCAAATTTGTGATATTGATATCACATTTCGTGAGTTGATTTCTGTATATTTTACTTTGCGAAGTCAATTTTGTGTTTCTTGGCATTGGAAGGGGATCAGAATAAGAAGAAGTCGTCTGTTCAACTCAGAACTCGTGTTTTGATCTGTACATCGAACAATACGTGGCCAAGAGGCGAAGAATAAACTGATCCCGTGTCAGACATTCCCTGGATATTCCAGCGTGGCCAGCGGCGCTATTAAGGTGAAAGAGCATTGTGGAGCGCTTCGAGAGGGAAGGGGGAGAAAGTTGTAGCTGCAGGGAAGTGATGCCGGCGGAAGGGTGGCAAGTAGGAGGGGGGGGGGCAACGGTGTGCCCCCTGTTCGCCCCTAGCCACCCTTCTCCGACTGCCATCTGATGTGAGGTAACATGTGAGGGCGAGCATCCATCTGTCCGCGCTGTACGCTAGCAGAAGGTGCAGCTAATGAGGCTTGATTTGCCGCCGCACCTGCCTCCAATCTTTTTTTTTTTTTTGGGGGGGGGGGAGTGATGGTTTGCGCCCGCATGTGCGCAGTACGCATGTGTGTTGGTGTGCCAGGGATGCTCCATCTCGACGGCCGCCCCTCAACCCACGGAAACCTCCATCGACGCCCCCTCCCTCAAGGTGTAATCATTGCTAAGCTAAGATGGGAGCGCCTGCAGGTGGACGAATCCTGGGAATTCATTAGGAAGTAGGTGAGACCCTGGGTTGAGAGCCCCTTTTGACCCGCCTTCCAAACATCCTTGCGCGAGAAAAGCATCCGATTCCCAAAAAGGAAGAAGCAACATCTCCGTGCAACTCGGTTAGGAGAATGTGTCCAGTCCAGAGGTGACAAAAGTACTCGCACACTGTACTTCAGTACACGTTTAAAAAAATAAAACAATATGGATTTTTTTGCAGAGCAACTACAATAGATAATAAAAGTGCGATAAACGATTAATCGAACAATTAATTGGTTCAAAACTATAATGTGTCAAACTCATTTTTGTCGCGGGCCACTTTGCAGTTTCGTCTTCCCTCGGAAGGGCCAAACTACAAAAATGTTTGATGGTCTCATCGCATTATTAATTGCAACAACTCAAGGGATTAAGACTTTGGAAATTGGTCTGTTGTGCCTGTTTGTTCCTTCTTAATGTTTCAGTTGCGATGCAGTTGCTGTGGCTCGTCTATGCTCGCCTCTTGACTGGTACTCGTAAGAGGGAGCACATACTGTAACGCCGACTCTGGCATCCCTTCATGGGCTCATTTTAGAGCAGCGGTCCCCAACCGCCGGTCCGCGGACCGGTACCGGTCCGCCGGGCATTTGGTACCGGGCCGCACAGAAAGAACTTGCCTTCATTCCGTTTTATTTATTTCGGAATACGAAAGATGTTTTATTTTGAAAAACTACCGGATTCTCCGTTACATCCGTCTGTGTTGTGCTTGACACACGTCAAGCCACGCTTCTCCTTCACGTGACCGATTACTTCAAAACAAAACGCAGGAGCTCGCAAAATGAGTAAAAAAAAAACTGCTGGAGATCGCAAATGACGGCGGCCTTAAAAGTACGTTCGAGACAACTGGATTAAAGTTATGGCTGAATACTCTGAGATGGCCACAATAGCACTGTTGCTATATTTCCGACATCCTACCTGTGTGAGGCGGGGGGTTTCTGCAGTAACGGCGACGAAAACAAAATTACGAAGTAGACTGGACATAAACCACACACTTGAGGTGTCATTGTCTCCTATTACCCCGAGATGGGACCGTCTGGTTGCAGAAAATCAAGCTCGGTGCCGTGGTGAGTCGTCATTTTCATGCACTTTGAATTTGCGTTGTATCGTATTTTGAAGGCATTAAACACTGCCATAGCGATCGGAGTGTTGCGGCCAGATTAGACGCTCCTTGTGTTTATTATTATATTTCGAAAACGCCACAGTTTTCATGCAGCTCATACCATATTATTTTGTTGTATTATTTCCGCCACACCTTAAATGCCGGTCCCTGAAAATATTGTCGGACATAAACCGGTCCGTGGGGCGTAAAAGGTTGGGGACCCCTGTTTTAGAGTTCTTTCGAGGATCCTCTGATTTGTTTTCAAATCTTGAAATGGCCTGGCCCCACCTTACCTCTCGGTGCTCCCACGCACCTGCCCGGTGCCTCACATCTGCGGATCAGACGCCATTAGAGGCACCAAGAACTAAACGAAGGCTCAGAGGGGCTTGGAGCCTTTTTCGTTGCTGCTCCCTCTCTTTGGAATGAACTTTGGTCAAGGCCCCTCGCCGCCCACGAGGGCTTTCAAACTCATTCTCTTTGAGTTGGACTGTTTTTGTGCTTTGCTACCAGTTTATTGTTTTATTGGATGAATGATTTTTGCTCCATGTACAGCACTTTGTATACAGCGGTGCTTGTTTTCAAGCGCTCTAGAAATACACTTGAGTTGAGAGTTGAGGAAATCCTCTCGTAAAGTCGAGCTACGCCTATCCCAAAGCTACACCATTAAGTATTTGTTCCACGTTACTTGCGTCCACGTGCTCGCTGCACCGTGCATCGTTCTGAGCGCCCCTCCGTCTCTCGCAGCCTGTCACAGATAGCATTTGACACAAGAGCTCTTCGGGGGCCAGTTATTCCAGGCCATTGAATCCAGATCAAAAGCAGCCCATTGGTGTTCCCCATCTGCTTCTGTCTGCAAACCAAAACCCGGCGTGAATCGTCCACCGCAAACCGCAAA